TACTACCATGCTAAAAAAAAAGTACTATGTGTGATCCAAGGAGTAACTGATGACTTTTCATGGTTAGGATTTATTAATTAGCTTGGAAAACACTCCCAACAACTCTGACTGATAATCTGAGGACATAAGGTTTATTTCCAAATCCTCCCTCTCTAAGGGATGTTTTCATTAATGAGGAAAGTGTAGGCAGCTGGCCCTCCTCAGTCTTTGTTCCAAGATACTATCAATTAAGGAGAAATGAAAATTCTTTCCATTACACTTAAAGAGCAATTTATTAACTCCATGGAGATGTTTCATAATCCAGAATTTGTCTTTTTACTCCTGGATGATTTTATTTTTACTACAATCACAAGTTTGGAATACTCCACCAGAGAATGAGATTGATAGGATAAAGAATATCTAGACTATGCCCTAAAATTAGCTATAGTACAGCTGGCTGAACTTTGTTATTTGTATGGAGATCATTGGAATTCATGGTAATTTCCCTCCTCCAGAATCAAGGTCATTGACTGTCGAGGCTGGAAGTCTTCCCGCCCTGTCTTTTTATTTTCTAAATACTGAGGCCAGAGAGATCAAGAGATTTCCACTGGAGCAAAATTCTTCTGATCTTTTCCAACGGGAACATTATAAAACTAAGCAATAATAAACCAGGCCAACAAATAGCAAAAGGGTCCAATTTCTATTTTCTCTGCCTCTTTTCCTCCCTTGCTGCAATGAAAAGCTCAAAAGAACCAAGTAGAAGAAAGAAGAGGTTAAATAACAGCTGGGTTATTGATTCCTGAAAAATGAAAACTTATATATGGTGGATAATTTCCACAAGCCACACAAGAACATCAGGCTCATAGCGTATGTGGCTGATGCTTATGTTTGTTTATAGATCTAATGGCCATCATGTGGGTACTTGCTTAGGGTGTTCCTTTCACAGCCTGCTGGAAGGCTGTGGAGCTTCTCCAACATTTGGTCCTGAGACTGAGGGCAGAGTGTTCTTTCCTCTATTGCCATTTGCCTCCAAAGTGGGCAGGATGGAAGAAGGGACAGCCAGAGTTGCAGAAGGTCCTGGCAATGCTCAGGTGCCCCCACTCGCTCTGTGCACATGGGCTTCCTCAATCTTAACTGTTTGTTATGTAAAACTTCAAGCCTTTCTTTTGATTAAATTTTTAAAAAGATGAAATGCATTTATTGCAATTTTTAAATCGTTTGACAAATACCTACTGAGAATCTATTGCACGTCAAGAATTGGCCTAAACAGATGAGTAAAACCTATCATTCTCCTCAAGGAGCTAATGATTGAGGGTTTTCTGTCTCCAGAGGAAACGTCCCTTTGGCTGCATAAAAACCTGCTTGTGCCCCCTGTCCCCATGCTTTAGAAACATCACTTTAATAGCCAAGAGATATTAATTAGTGGTTCTAATAGCCAAGAGATATTAATTAGTGGTCATAGAAATTAGGGAGTAAGCTGGAAGTACCAGTATAGTACTTCTTGTTTCCTTCCTTTCTTTCTTTCTTTCTTTCTTTCTTTCTTTCTTTCTTTCTTTCTTTCTTTCTTTCTTTCTTTCTTTCTTTCTTCTTTCTTTTCTTTCTTTCTTTCTTTCTTTCTTTCTTTCTTTCTTTCTTTCTTTCTTTCTTTCTTTCTTTCTTTCTTCTTCTTTCTTTCTTTCTTTCTTTCTCTTCTTTTTCTTTCTTTCTTCTTTCTTCTTTCTTTCCTTCCTGTCCTTCCTTGTCTTCTCTCTCTCTCTCTCTTTCTCTTTCTTTCTTTTTTGAGATGGAGTCTTGCTCTGTCACCCAGGTTGGAGTGCAATGGCATGGTCTCGGCTCACTGCAACCTCCACCTCCTGGGTTCAAGTGATTCTTATGTCTCAGCATCCCTCCCAAGTAGCTGGGATTACAGGTGCCTGCCACTGTGCCCGTCTAATTTTTATATTTGTAGTAGAGATGGGGTTTCACAATCTTGGCAAGGCTGATCTTGAACTCCTGACCTCATGATCCACCTGAACGTGACCTCCCAAAATGTTGGGATTACAGACGTGAGCCACCACACCCAGCCCTTTGTTTACTTTTGCTGTGTTTCGGCATCACATCACAAATATCAGGTCATATAATAATGATTGCTATTAACTTCACTAAAGTCATCTTTTCCAGTCAGATGTAGATATTTTGAACAGATATAGGATATTTTAAAGCCTTGCAAATAGCCCACAGTGATTAATAATATGATTTGACAATGTCATAAAGAATACTGATATAATTGCTTTTTATATCAATAGAGTGCTAGGAAGGGAAAACTATTCAAATAAGACAGTTAAGGTTTAGTGGCCTGATACTATCTTAATATAAATTAACAGTAAACATTTAAAAACAACAGAGGAAATATAAAACTTTTTTTTAACTTGGGTAATTTAATCCTGATTCTAAATGGTAGTTAGCACTAGGATATAATATACTACCCACTGCTCAGTCTATTATCATTGTTATCTTTAGAACCCTATAATTGGACAAACAGGAAACTATTCATAATAATAAGTTTGTTCAAAAATAATCTGTTGGCTGGAGTCTGGGGTGCACACTGCAGTCATATTGAACTGAAGGCAGAACTGCTTATTTTATCCTTTTCACTGTTTGTTTATCTCTGCTACAACAACGTATAGGCACATTAGACACTTGGGTGGTCCAAAGCATCCTGCCACAATTACTAAAAACTCAGTAATTTTTCCTGCATTCCATGAGTGGGCAACATAAATCTTATTTGCTGCAGACAGGGCCTTCATTGAACCTAAGCCTTGTCGCCTGTGCAGGCAAGTCGCTATGCTTAACATGTAACTTGGGCAAATAATTTTCCTTCTGAAATTTCCATGAGATCTAACCACTTAATTGCTTTATTTATTCTATCACTGGTTTTATTTTTCAGTGATTCTTCAGTAGCTACATTCCTTATATCACAGTTATCCAAAGATCAAATTTCACAGGACTCCTGCACACACAGGTTTCTTCTAAAAGATGTGAATTGAAAGGCAAACAACCATTAGTGGTCTGTTTTCAGTTTTCATTACCAATAAAATGAGAGATCAGTATTTTCATGCTGCGTGAAGGCTTCAGGGATGTGCAATGTTGCTGTTATTGCAGACCAGGCTGCTGCCTGCCCCGACTAATGTACATGGAATGATGAGCCCATCAGAATAAAAATAAAATAATGAAATGGTCAGAGTCATAGAGTGGATGGCTGACCTGGACTATCAGATGACCCCCTGAAAATGTCCCTTTGAATTTAGTGAAGCCTGGATGGCAAAGACCACAGATCATGACAGAACATAAATTCGCCTCATAATGAGATTAGAAGACAGGCAAAATAAATGTCCTGCTGTTACATTAGAGGCAGGCTCTAATCTGGCATTTTCCTTGGAAATGATCATTTCCGTTGCAACAGGGGAATCATGGATGCCACAAGCTTAAATCTGACAGATTCTGTTTTGCCACGTAGTTATTTTTCTTCTTCCTCTGTCTTTTTAATAGTGGTTTTGGGGAGATCTATAAATGAGTTGTGGGTCTTAAAGACTATTACGAAACTGAGTTATGGGAGTCTATGTTCACGATCATCAATCGCATTCCCCAGACTCCCCTTTGAATAAAAGTTCTGTGCAACTCCTCCACCCACTTCTCAACTGGAGCCTTGCTGTGGAGAAGGTGTTGTGACCCCCAGGGTCCTCTCACACTAGCCTTGAGGATCAAAGACAGAATAGACTCACTATTGTATTTGGGGGTATTTAAAAAAAATCTCAACTGCAATTCTACTACTTAAAACCACTGGAAACAAATATCACATACTAAAAAGCCTGAAGAAAATGCCCAGATCAGGTGAACCAGTATGGTCTCTGAGTAGAACAAAGGTTTCAAGTATGGAGCTTGATTGCAAGGAACTTCCGTGGTCTGCAGCAGAAGGCAGTCTCACCTGGGAGTACAATACCCTCCTCTCATTCAAAATGCAAGATAGCATCTCCTGCTGGATCCTTTCTACAGAACCTGATGCAAGTTCATGGGGGTGTACCGTCCTTAGTAGTGAGTGGCATTTAATCAAAGCCTTCTGTGACATAATCTCAGAGTTTCAGGAGCCCTGTGAAGTCACCAACCAAGCTAAGAGGTTCTTTCAAAAGGAATGAGAGATCAAACCCTGAATTGAGGAGCATTTGACGCTTCTGCACAGAAGGCACAGACTATTTAATTTCTCTGCATTTTTTTCAGAGCCCCTGCTAAAGACTCCTTATTTCTCTGTAAAACTGCAGATCAGGAGTAAATCAACTCAGGGTATTTTGACATATTATTTTTCTTAGGCTGGGAAAAAAAACCACAGAAATCTTTTGCATGTGCATGTATTGTATTTTTTGCAGTTTGCACAGTGGTTTAGGGGCAGCACTTCATCTAATGAAACCATTCCCTTTTTGCAGCTGGTGCTTCCATTCAAACACTTGCGCTGCAAATCCAGCTGGTTTAAGGGATAAATTATCTTTTGGCCCCATATAACAAGTTTTTTTTTTTTTCCTTTAACTTTCCACTTCTCAATAGCTTGTGTCGCTGTGTGTGTCTTTTCTGTGTGTCTAATTCGCAAATGCCAAAGAAGGTGAAGTCAATTCTCCTCCCACTTTTAAGATTTTCTCTGTTCTCTGTTAATTCCCTCATCAGATGAACTAATTCAAGGGGAGAGAGAATACATTTTCTTATAGGTAGTGGTCCTATATTTATTGGCACTCTCCTCCAGCATATTTGTTTCATTTCCTTAACTTGGTCTTTCTCATCCCACCTTATCTGCCCCCCATGCCCTACTGAACCTCAGTGTTCAGTATTTACAATTTAAATTGAAAACAGTAAATGAGTCCACTTAGCCAAGCGCCCAGTACAGTTGGTGTGTGTTAATGATTATCTAATGGCCTTCCCATGTGTTAAACTCACAGAGTTAAAGTTTCATGTCACATAATCTCTTTGAAGGAATTTCCCAAGTTATTTTTGCTTACCTCATATAAACGAACTTGTTCTTGGGTTACAGCGAAGATCAATAACACGTTGTTTTGTACCAGTTTATCAATGAGTTGTCCAATTGTTGGATATTCCTAAAATTAACATATATAATTTTGTGTCATCTCAATAAAATAATGTAAAGAAAGGAATATTTATTTCAAGGATATCTTTCTGAGTTTGGCATTTTAATGTTCACAGGCATTATAGTTCTATCACTCTAAGTAAACAAATACACAATTAGCATTATTCACTTGGTTTAATAATCCTTTTCTAAATTTTATAATCCAATAAATTCCTAAGAGTCAGTTCCTGTTGATGTGGTGTATCACACTCTGCCACTTCTAAGAAGACCATTTGAAATTTATTTAAAGGCTAATAGTGTGTCATGTTTTCAAGTGTAGAGAAACATTTCTTCTCCTTCTAAGTGACACCTAACAGTAGGCTAGGAATGTTACCATCGAGGGAGGGGTTGTTTGACTGTGATATAAGTGACTGAGATGACTCTTGTAGCTCTGAAACACTTATTGGAATTGGATGAAGTAGAATGAGGGTTGCTGAGGTATGACATACTATGACATTCCTGTACTAATCCCTGGGTTTGGTTTTACTGCCTTTTTAATATCACAAGTTGGTTGTATGAAATCCTACAGTATTTTTACAGGACAATTGAAAACTACATTGTACTTCTGTTCCATTGGCATATTCATTCCCAAGGGATATGAGTACTTTCTAAAAAACAAAAGAAGCTTAATTTTTAAATTTGAATATGAAAATTTTACTTTTCAGTTTTAGAAAACATGATGTGCATTTGCCCATTATATGAATCGAAATGTGAGTAATGTACAAAGAGGAAAGTCAAGAGAGGTACTACATTATTACCTCACTTAATTCACAAAGTAAGAATATGTTAATTATGACAGAGGTCAACCAAATGGGGGAACACTGATAAATAAGCCCTTCTGTACACTCAGATGGAATATTCACATATTCTCAGTATTACTGGAGTATTTTCATCTAAAGTCTTCTTTACGTACAAGGTTCAAGTTGAGAGAAAAGTCTAGTTTTGCCTAAAATACTCCAATAAATTACCCAACTGCAAATGGCTATGCCATATGTACTTTCCATCACATTTGGATTTTTATTAACAGAGATACAAAATAGTATCCATTTCCTCTGCTTTTCAACTGTCCAAACATCCGTTACCCTGAAGCCTAAATCCCTCCAGTGCCAGTCCCTTTTTATCTCCGCATGTTCCCTCACCCTTCAGCTGCTGTGCGTGTATAGCCAGATCATACCACATCGTGCTTTGTAGGTGAGCAAAGTTGGTTTTCTATTTGAATCAGATCTGTTGGTTTAATTCCCACAACCATATTGTAAGTTCAAGGCCAGGAACCACCTTGTATTATTTTTTGGTCTGAGGAATCTGGCTTCAGTTTTGAGTACATAAGAAGTGCTCAGAGGACCTGGGGGACTATGTTGCAGGCAGGCACAGATATGGTCTCTGCCTTCTGTGCATTTGTAGCAACTTATTCAGAAAGAAGGATTTGAACATTTATTAGATGAGAAGGTCATATTAGGCAAGAGGTAGTGTTAGCTTCTATGATCTTCCCTCATTCAAAATGGAGTTATTTGTGGAGCTTTCGAAAAGTTACAAGGAAAGGGTAATAGAAAAGGGATCCCAGTTTCTTGCCCCTCACTGACTAAAAGACAACATGTGGCTATCCTCACTGATACTGTAATATGAGAAGGCAGAGTATGTGACTAAAGAATATACACATTTGGGGACTACTACTGGTCAAAGTTTAGGGGAAAACATTCATGTTGAAATGCAGAAATTTAGGTCAAGGAATAGTAGTGAGTAATGAACCATTAAGAGTTTTTGGAGAATAGTTTTCCCAATTGACATTAGAATTCTAGGTTCCTGTCTCCCCTCCCTCTCTCTTTCTCCCCCACGTACACCTCTACAGCATTGTTCTAAGAAGCCTCTTAAATTCTCTGTACCATATTTCCCCAAGTGTTAAATGGGGACAATATGACAATCCAAGATTGCTGCTTCAGAAGTCAAATCTATTTCATACATTAGTTGGCACCCACTGTGTTCTAGGCACTGTGCTATCAGGAAACAGAGATAATAAACCAGGCCTGGTCCTGAGGATTGTGCAAGAAAGACAGACAGATGTAAGAACACATATTTCTATATTGAGATTCATAAAAATTCATCCGTGTATGTGACTAGAGGGAAAGACGATTGCTTCAGAGCCTAGCAGAGGTCAAGGAAGGCTCTCTGGGGGCAGTAATGACTGAGCTGGTGTTTCAAGGATAATGAAGAGTTTCTCAGCAGCCTAGGAGGGAAGGATATTCCAGGCAGAGGGAATAACATGTGCACAAGCGTGGCAGCCTCATGGTCTGTTCAGGAAAAGCAGTTGGATACATAGCGGTCTATTGAGGAGAGCACGCATGTCCAAAGGGCTCTGAAATTTTGACTTTTACAAAAGTCAGTTGTTTTCTTTGAATGTCACTAGTATTTTATAAATGACAAAAAATAAGCCAAAAGTTAATAAGCACCAACCAAGCCATACCTGACTAGTTGTTACCCATGGAATATGAAAGCATGCATGATTCAGCGACTGTCATTCACAGTAAATCCTACGTTGTTACTGTTTTGGTCTGGGTCCCTCCTTTCTGAGGCTGTGGCTGAGAACAGAATGAGCTGCCTGTATTGCTTCACCAGCACCAGGTGTTTTTAGAAATTAGGGAGGTTCTGAGATCATGCAATTCATAGCAGATCCATCTTGCCACATGGCCTACCACCCACCTATGATCCTGTGGGAGACTCTAATGATGGTGTGGTGAATTGAGCTGGGGAAGCTTGCTAATCTCAAATTAGAAAATGAGCACTGCTTTTACACCAGTGGTTGCTTCATGCTCCTACTTATAGCCCTGAAAACAGTATAGAGTGCAGGTTACACACCAAGAGAGTTGACATGGAGTATTCATTCTTGCTGTCCAAGTGACAGAGCCCATCATTAGGAATGACGATGCCTGCTAGTTTGCTGTCCATTCCAAAATGAGAATCAGCATCACTTACAAAGACCAGGAGGTGGAGGGAGTCATTCCGCCAGCCAATTTTTTCCTACAGTGGGGAAGAAACATTTGTGGTTATTGGAGGGAGGCAGGCATTTATTGAGTGTGGATCAATTATGCTTGGACACATTTAGATTATAAAAAATATTGCTAGTCTATTTTAGCTTTTTTATCTATTGTGAATCCATAATATTAATGTATTAAACACATGAAATTCTGTGACATTTGCTTTTTCCTGGATAACATTTTTGTATGACTTATGCTTCAGAAAAATAGCTCCACTGCAGTCAGTATTCAGTTGATCTTGACTTTTACGTAGTTAAATTATTTTTACTATCCAGCTCTCAATTCACCCAAAAAATTGAGCAGAGGAGGTCACAGATGATCCCAAATCCAAATTGAAGCAAAACTCATCAAAATGAAATGTTAAAGGGGCTCAAAGTAAACCTGTTTCATTAAAATGTCACCCAACATTTAGGCACATATTTCTCTTTCTAATGATATCACCCAAAAATAATAAACCTAATACAAGGATAAGAATTGCTTATGAAAGTATGGCCCCAAGGTCCTGCTAATTATAATTGTCTGTTGCTGGTGTTTAGCAAAGCCCTCCCCTTTAATTAATATTAGTCCAGGAACTAATTGGGTAAAAACGCATCCTGGCTGTTCCATCCCTCCTTATCCCTTTCCTTCCTACTCTAATTCCTTGGCCCTCCCACCTTCTAGGGGATTCGACCCTGTTTATTTCCTGATATTTTCCACGAAGGGTTGTTGCCTAAAGACAGGGGAATCATTCTTGTGGAAACTTGTCAGATAGTCAAGGAGGAGTAGTGTTCCTGTGATGTTGTAGAGACAGCAAACTTCTGAAGCTTATTTTGTTGGTTCAAAAGAATAGCTATGTAGTCATATGCACGGATATATACTGATTCAGAGCATGTTAAGTTTTTAAAATAAATGTTCTACCCTTGATTTTTTTCATCATGGTTAATTCAAAAACGAATCTGATCTTGATCTTTGAAAAATTAATCATACATGGCTATTGTTTCAACTAAATTTTGCCAACACAACAATTTTCTTAGATTATTGAAATATAAGATATAAAGAAGAGTCCCCATGTCAGCATAATTTAATTAAATATTTGGCAAAAAATGTGCATTTTAAGAAAAATATAAAATATAGACATTTAGACATTAAAGGAAAGGAAATTAGCTAATCCTTTGAAGTAGAATTATTAATAAGAGATTAACTTTATGTTAACAGTGTGAAACAGCACTCCCTTCAGCATACCTTACACACAGCAGCTTGCATAATTGCATCAAATCCACCTTCAGGTGTGTCGATATTAGCAGAAATTTTCTGATTCTTCACAATTTCATTGAATCTTTCAGCATTATTTGTCAATGGCAAAATGTGCTTGAATCCAAATGTCGGTAAACAGAAGTATGGAATACTACTGCAAAAGTAAGAGGTGAAAATATTATTGATGAGATATGATGTCATACACAATTAATGGATCTGACAGCTTAGCAACATTCCCTTAAATGAAGATTAGTTTTTCTAAAGGACCTGACTCTGTAAGTCAGCTGTGAATCTCACTGTTAAGGTTGTTGACATCATCTCCCACCCTTTCTGTGTTGACCATATTAGCTAACACTTATTTAGAACTTATTGTGTGTCTTGCACTGGCTCAAACTCAGAAAACATAATCAGGTGATCAGACTCCTGTGTGTGTGTGTGTGTGTGTGTGTGTGTGTGCTACCTTCTGTGGGCTCCCAACCAAAATTTACCACTAAGTTTGCACAATGACAATTCTTTTGTATTCTGATATCTTAGCCTGTCATCAAATATGAATCACCCTATAGCAAGACAAGAGGGGAAATTTTCTTTTTCCTCCTTTACTCTCAGACCTGCCTGCCAAGGGCCCAACAATTGCAGCAGCATTCTTGGTTTGAGAGTCCAACTCTACTTGATTGAATAGGCCAGCCCAGAAATAAAACCACTACTTAAAGTGCCATGTTAGGACGAAATCTGCACCAAAGATATTACAGTAAAACACAAAGGGCTGATCATTAATTCAGCCATGTCTTATTTTGAAAGCAAGTTTCCAGCTGTGCATGAAACTTTGGGCAAGTTACTCAACACTTCTGACTTTTGGATTTTAAAATGAGGATGACTGTTTACAGGAGAGGTTCTCCTACTGAGGTCCCTGGGCAAGCATCATGAGCATCACCTGGCACATTGTTAGAAATGCAAAATCTGAATCGTTACCCAAGATCTGCTGAATTAGCAATGCTGGGGCTGGGCTCAGTGATCTGTGTTGTACCAAATCTTCTGGATGCATTCTAAAGTTTAAGAATCATTGGTGTAGAAGTGCAAAGACACAAAAAGGCATAGCCCCTGCTGAGGGAGTGATGCACTGCCTGGGGAAGAGTTGGTTGATTCTTAATACTGGCTCATGTGGAACCTGGGCCTTGGCTCTGCAGGTCCAGTAGCCTATCTTGTCAGCACAAGAAGGTGCATTTTTCAGTGCAAGGATTTAGTCCATCACGTTCTTCTGCCTGAGATATACAGTTGATCTTCATTATTCACAGATTCTATAAATGTGAATTCACCTACTTGCTGAAATTTATTTGTAACTCCCTAATTAATACTTGCAGTGTTTTCTGAGTCATTCGTGGACATGTGTAGTCAGGCAAAACAAAACCAAAGACCCCAAAACAGTATTTCCCTATTGTGAACATTCTCTACTGGAATCAAACAAGGTGGTGTTCTGCCCTCTTATTTCAGGCCTCCAACTCTAAGGCAGTGCCCTTTTCACACTTTACTTAGTGCCACCATTCTTTCATTTTTGTGCTTTTCATGGATGGTTTCTCTGTTTAAAATAGCCCCCAATCACAATGCTGAAATGCTGTTTAGTGTTCCTAAGTGTGAGACGTCTGTGATGTGTCTCATGGAGAAAATAAGCTGTGTGAGACAAAAGCTTCACTCAGGAATGAGTTATAGTGCCTTTGTCTGGAGTTCAGTGTTTACAATTTGATGATATCTATTACATGTGGTGTCTTTAAACAGAAGCACACATAAAATAAGGTTGTGCAGTGATTGTTGATGAAAATGTAATAGCCAGAAGCTTGCAGGAACCTAACCCTATATTTCCCTTAGGAGCAATGATTCAATATTCAATAATTCAATGCTTGGGGCAAGTTTAAGGAACATGACTACCATGAATAATGAGAATTGACTGTGTGTACAGATAGATCAGAATGATCATGTATTCTTTAACATTGAGTAAGGATGCTCTCACTGGGGCCGGAATGCTGGTACCTGTGGGTACCATCATTTTCTTCTAATCAGTAAACTTTCCCGGAAAGCAGGTAAAGTTTGGATGTGTCCCCAGGCTTCAGAACAAGGGGAGCTGGGGGACCCCAGCACTGAATGGCACAGCACAAGATGTCCCAAGACGATCACCCCAGGATGGATGTTCTTGGTCACATCTGGCCCCTCCCCCATCTGTGGGCCACTTCCTCAGCTAATACAAATTTGAAAAGATCTCACAGGCAAAGGGACTGGAAGCTCTGAAAGTGTGTTGGCTGAGGCTCTTGGATGGATGTGGCCCACACTGGCCTCTGTGATACCCCCTTCTCTGTCCTGCCCTAGCCCACTAGGCTGTCTGTCCTTTCAGCTGTGTCACTTAGTCTATTGGGTCCAGGGGCCAGTCTGTTGCTTCTGGGTAATTTTTATATTTCCCTTCCTAATTATTATGTTTAACTTTAATTATTATATTTAAGTGAATATGGCAATCATATTCTCTTATTTTTAATACTGTGAATTATGTTTCAATGAAACTCTAAAATGCTGACCATAGACTGTATTTACCTAGCAGGGTTGCCGTGAGGCTTGAATGAGATAAAATATGCAAAGCATATAGCATGATGAGCTTTTCAGAGTAAATGCATAGTAAACATCGTGTCATTTCTTACATAAATCACTTCACACAGTCTAGAACAGACCTAAGTACAGATAATGGATTTGGCTAATGATATCCCTAGAATAATGTTTTTTCCTGTTTAAAATAATAAGGCAGGTTAATTGAAGAAAATTGGGGTTTTATATGAAAGTGTAAAGGAAAGAATCAAAGACATAGATTGTAATTGCTGTGAGATGAATCATAGTTTATTTGATCATCTTTCTATTGCTGAGCATTTATTTTGAAATTTTTTTTGGAATTAAATAATGTAGTGATTCTTCTATATACATGTTTACAAACTATTCCATATCCTTACTTAAAATAAATTTTTTGATAGGGAGTCACTGGGTTATCTTTTGACTAAATTTAGCAAACTCTTCCAAAAAGTTTGTATCCATTGCCATCTCTGGTATTAGTATATGGCATTACATTATTAAAAAAAAAAACCTATACTAGTTGATTAGCAAAAAACGGCATCTAAAAGTTTTAATTTTCATTTTATTATGTTAAGACTGAGTGCTTCTTTCTATTTATTGACATCTTGTATTTCTTCTATTGTTAATTGCCAGCTGATAACCTTTGCTAAATTTCTTATCCTAATTTAAAGAACCATCTTAAAAATAGTAATCTTTTTTCTTTGTAGTTTGTCTTTTAATTTCATTCATGATGTTTTTGGATATATATCTTAAAACCTTCGATGTGGTCAAATTTCTTCCCACCTTCAAATATAAAATGCATTTTAAAGTGTGATATAAGATAAGAGTCTGTTTTTTTTCAAAATATTTAACTTGTTAAATGACAATAATGTAGCATTAGTCTTACTTAATTGCCCTTATAGTGATTGAAGTAGCTGTGGGTGGTAGAAAACGCTTTGGATTTAGAATAAAAAGAGTGAACAGTTATCTTTTTATTTTTTAGTTGGAGTCTCACTCTGTTGCCCAGGCTGGAGTGCAGTGGCATGATCTCAGCTCACTGCAACCTCTGCCTCCGGGTTCAAGCAATATTCCTGCCTCAGCCTCCCGAGTAGCTGGGATTATGGGTACATGCCACCATAACCAGCAAAGTTTGTATTTTTAGTAGAGGTGGGGTTTTAACATGTTGGCCAGACTGGTCTCGAACTCCTGACCTCTAGTGATGCACCCACCTGGGCCTCCCAAAGTGCTGAGAGTACAAGCATGTGCCACAGCGCCCAGCCAGTTATCTATCTTTGGGCAAGTTGCTCAATACCACTGGCCTCAGTGTCCTTCTCCATAAAATGGGAATGAGCATAATACCTATTTCACAAAGTTGCCATGACGATTATGTGAGATAAAAAGTATGTAATCATGTTAGGTACACCATTGTCCCTGAAACCTAAGTATCTTGGAAATTGTTTAATCTCTTATTTGGGGCTGCTGGTTTACAAAAATGCCTGAAATGACATTTGAGCATCTACTGGATCTACTGAAGTAGCAGTCCTATCTTTTTGTGAGAGATTCATGTCTCTGTTGGTTAGAATTATCTGCTATGTAGATTTCACTAGAACTTATGCCTTTGGAAAGTGGAATGAAATTTTAATTTAATTCACTAAAGAAATTCAAGTGATGGGAGAGCTACAGCACAGAAGAATGTCAGAGATGGACCATGCAAGGGAATTTTGAGTGTCCCTGTTTTGATCAGAGTTCATTTTCTTCTCTCTCTCTCTCTCTCTCTTTTTCTGGAGACAGGGTCTTCTTCTGTTGCCCAGGCTGGAATGCAGTTTTGGTGACACAATCTCTGCTCACCGAAACCCCCGCCTCCCATGCTCAAGCAATTCTCTCACCTCAGCCTCCAGAGTAGCTGGGACTACAGGTGTACACCACCATACCAGCTACTTTTTTTTATTTTTTGTAGAGACAAGGTTTCACTATGTTGCCCAAGCTGGTCACAAACTCCTGAGCTCAAGCATTCTGCCCACCTTGGCCTTGCAAAGTGCTAGGATTACAGGTAAGAGTTCATTTTCTAATAAAGACTCATATTTTCTTGTTACTTTCTTAGCCTAGCAATCAAAAGAAGTAAGTACCTCTCACCAAATTACTTGATTTTGAATCCCTAGATAACAAGAGAATTTGCATTTAAAATGCAAAATAGTTATGAATCACAATATACAGACGTATTACTTCAAATTTTTGTTAAAATTTTAAATAAATATTTACAGAATAAGAATATAATGACATATACCAAAGCATTAATGTCATCTTTTCCTGAGTGAAGTTATAAATTATTTCCATTTCTTACTTTTGTCTCTATTTTCACATGGGCTTATTACCTTTGCAATAAGAAACTATATACCATATGCTCACATATGTTTATGTGTATGAACATAGAGAAAATCCATTCTAGCATTTCTTTTTTATTCTTTGAGATGGAGTCTCATTCTGTTGCCTAGGCTGGAGTGTGGTGGTGCGACCTTGGCTCACTGCAACGTCTGTCTCTTGGGTTCAAGCGATTCTCTTGCCACAGCCTCCCAAGTATCTGGGATAACAGGCATGTGCCACCACGTCTGGCTAATTTTTTTTCTGTATTTTTAGTAGAGATGGGGTTACACTGTGTTGGCCAGGCTGCTCTCAAACTCTTGATCTCAGGTGATCTGCCCATCTTCGCTTGCCAAGTGCTGGGATTACAGGCAAGAGCCACTGAGCCCGGCCCATTTCAGCATTTCATGCTTCAGCTTCCTCTTTTGCAAAACTATAATAAACTCACTATTGGTGTAAATTCAAAACAAAAACACCACATTATACATGAAATAATGTTTAAAAACATCCCTCAGCTGGGCACAGTGGCTCATGCCTGTAATCCCAGCACTTAGGGAGGCCAAGACAGGTGGATCACTTGAGATCAGGCATTTGAGACCAGCCTGACCAACATGGTAAAACCTTGTCTCTACTAAAAATACAAAAAAAAAAAAAAAATTAGTCAGGCATGGTAGCATACGCCTGTAGTCCCAGCTACTTGGGAGGTTGAGGCAGGAGAATTGCTTAAATCTGGGAGGCAGAAGTTGCAGTGAGCCAAGATCGTGCCACTGCACTCCAGCCTGGGCAACAAGAGTGAAACTCTGTTTCAAAAAAATAAACAAATGAAAATTTAAAAAATTCTTTCAAAATGTTTAATAGAGGAAGAAACTTTAACTTTTGTGCAATTAAATAGTTTTAAATGTACATTTTACTCACTTATACATATGAAAATAAAGAAAACATTTATTGTTGCTGTATCTTAGACAAAAGCAAAGGACATTATTTTCAAAAATAAAAATTACTTCAGCATTCTCAACAGGGTGAAATAAATTTTTAGTGACTCTCCATCCAATGAAAATTAAAAAGCTACTCCAAAAAGCATTAGAGATGAGATTAAAGAGGTGGATTTTCTTTCTTTTTATAGAACCTTGGACTCTATGTTGCCCAGGCTGGACTCAAATGCCAGGGTTTTTTTTTTCATGCCCCAGTGGTGCCTGGAACACCAGTGAGACAGCACCCTTTACTCCCCTGGAAAGGTGCTGAAGACAGGGAGCCATGTGGTCTAGCTCAATGGATCCCATCCCCTTGGATCCCACCAGACTAAGATCCACTGGCTTGAAATTCTTGCTACCTGCATAGCAGTCTGAAGTTGACTGGGATGCTTGAGCAGTGAAGGAGGGTGGGGGGCAGTGGCATCCACCATTACTGAAGCTTGGTTAGGCGGTTTTCCCCTCGGAGTATAAACAAAGCCACTGGGCAGTTCAAACTGGCAGAGCCCACCACAGCTCGGCAAAGTCTCTGCAGTCACACTGCCTCTCTAGATTTCTCCTCTCTATCTCTGAAAGAAAGGCAGTAGCCCCAGTCAGGGGCTTATAGATAAAACTCCCATCTCCCTGGGACAGAGCACCTCAGGGAAGGGGCAGCTGTGGGTGCAGCTTCAGCAGACTTAAACATTCCAGCCTTCTGGCACTGAAGAGAGCAATGGATCTCCCAGCACAGCACTAGGGCTCTGCTAAGGGACAGACTGCCTCCTAAAGTGGGTCTCTGACCCCCGTGCCTCCTGACTGGGAGACACTGCCCAGCAGATGTCAACAGACACCTCATGCAGGAGAGCTCCAGCTGCCATCCGGCAGGTGCCCCTCTGGGACAAAGCTTCCAGAGAAAGGGACAGGCAGCAATTTTTGCTGTTCTGCAGCCTCCACTCATGATACCCAGGCAAATAGGGTTTGAAGTGGACCTCCAGCAAACTTCGGCAGACTTGCAGCAGAGGGGCCTGACTGTTAGAAGGAAAACTAACAACCAGAAATGAATAGCATCAACATCAAAAAACCCCATCCCATGGTCATCAACATCAAAGACCAAAGGTAGATAAATCCATGAAGATGAGGAAAAAACAGTGCAAAAAGGCTGAAAATTCCAAAAATCAGAATGCCTCTTCTCCTCCAAAGGATCATAACACCTTGCCAGCAAGGGAACAAAACTGGATGGAGAATGACTTTGGTGAATTGACTGAAGTAGGTTTCAGAAGGTGGGTAATAACAAACTCCTCCAAGCTAAAGGAGCATGTTCTAACCTAATGCATGGAAGCTAAGAACCTGTATAACCAGTTTAGAGAAGAACATAAATGCCCTGATGGAGCTGAAAAACACAGCACGAGAACATCATGAATCATACACAAGTATCAATAGCTGAATCAATCAAGCAGAAGAGAAGATATCAGAGATCAAAGAGCAACATATGAAATAAAGTGTGAAGACAAGATTAGAAAAAAAAAGAATGAAAAGGAAAGAACAAAGCCTCCAAGAAATATGGAACTATGTGAAAAGACCAAATTTATGTTTGATTGTTGTACCTGAACATGACTGGGCGAATGGAACCAAGTTGGAAAAAATTCTTCAGGATATTATCCAGGAGAACTTCCCCAACCTAGCAAGACAGGCCAACATTCAAATTCAGGAAATATAGAGAACACAACAAAGATACTCCACAAGAAGAGCAACCCCAAGACACATAATTGTCAGATTCACCAAGGTTGAAATGAAGGAAAAAATGTTAAGGGTAGCCAGAGAGAAAAATTGGGTTACCCACAAAGGGAAGCCAATCAGACTAACAGCAGATCTCTCTGCAAAAACCTATAAGCCAGAATAGAGTGGGGGCCAATATTCAACATTCTTAAAGAAAAAAATTTTCAAGCCAGAAATTTCATATCCAGCCAAACTGAGCTTCGTAAAGGAAGGAGAAATAAAATCCTTTACAGGAAAGAAACTGCTGAGAGATTTTGTCACCACTGGGTCTGCCTTACAAGAGCTCCTGTAGAAAGCACTAAATTTGGAAAGGAAAAACCAGTACCAGCCACTATAAAAACATACCAAATTATAAAGATCATCGACACTATGAAGAAACTGCATTAATTAATGGGCAAAATAACCAGCTAACATCATAGCAACAGTATCAAATTCACACATAACAACATTAAACTTAAATGTAAATGGGCTAAATGTCCCCAATTAAAATACACAGACTAGCAAATTAGATAAAGAGTGAAGACCCATTGATTTGCTGTATTCAGGAGACCCATCTCACGTGCAAAGACACACATAGGCTCAAAATAAAGGGATGGAGAAAGATGTACCAAGCAAAAGGAACGAAAAAAAAAAGCAAGGATTGCAATCCTAGTCTCTGATAAAACAGAGTTTCAATGAACAAAGATCAAAAAAGACAAAGAAGGGGATTACATAATGGTAAAGGGATCAATGCAACAAGAAGAACTAACTATCCTAAATATATATGCACCCAATACAGGAGCACCCAGATTCATGAAGCAAGCTCTTAGAGACCTACAAAGAGACTTAAACTTCAACGCAGTAATAATGGGAAACTTTAACACCCCACTGTCAATATTAGATCAACAAGAGAGAAAATTAACAAAGATATTCAGTACTTGAACTCAGCTCTGGAGCATTTGGACCTAATAGATATACATCTATGGAACTCTCCACCCCAATCAATAGAATGTACATTCTTCTTAGCACCACATTATTCTAAAACTTACCACATAATTGAAAGTAAAACAAATGCAAATGCAAAAGAATGGAAAGCATAGCAGTCTCTCAAACCATAGTGCAATCAGATTAGAATTCAGGATTAAGAAACTCACTCAAAACTGCACAATGACATGGAAACTGAACTACCTGCTCCTGAATGACTACTGGGTAAATAACAAAGTGAAGGCAGAAATAAGTTTTTTGAAACCAATGAGAACAAAGACACAAATACCAGAATCTCTGGGACACAGCTACAGCAATGTTTAGAGGGAAATTTATACACTAAATGCCCACAGGAGAAAGCAGGGAAGATCTAAAACCAATACCCTAATATCACAATTAAAAGAACTAGAGAAGCAAGAGCAAACAAATTCAAAAGCAAGCAGAATACAGGAAATAACTAAGATCAGAGCAGAATTAAGGAAATAGAGACATGAAAAACTCTTAAAAAATCCATGAATCCAGGAGCTGGTCTTTTGAAAAGCTTAACAAAATAGAGATAGACCGCTAGCAGACTAATAAAGAAGAAAAGAGAGAAGAATTAAATAAACACAATAAAAAGTGATAAAGGAGATATCACCACTGATCCCACAGAAATACAAACTACCATCAGAGAATACTATGAACACCTCTACACAAATAAACTAGAAAATCTAGAAAAAATGGATAAACTCCTGGACACATACACCCTCCCATAACTAAACCAAGAAAAAGTTGAATCCATGAACAGACCAATAACAATTCTGAAATTGAGGCAGTAATTATTAGCCTACCAATCAAAACAAGCCCAGGACCAGACAGGTTAACAGCCAAATTCTACCAGAGGTTAAAAAGAGGAGCTGGTACCATTCCTTCTGAAACTATTCCAAATTCTGCCAGAATTTGGTTAACAGTCAAATTCTATCAGAGGTAAAAAGAGGAGCTGGTATTATTCCTTCTGAAACTATTCCAAACAACAGAAAAAGAGGAACTCCTCCCTAACTCGTTTTATGAGGCCAGCATCATCCTTATACCAAAACCTGTCAGAGACACAACAAAAAAAGAAAATTTCAGGCCAATATCCTTGATTAACATTGATGTGAAAATCCCCAATAAAACACTGGTAAACTGAATCCAGCAGCACATCCAAAAGCTTATCCACCACAATCAAGTCAGATTCATCCCTGGGATGCAAGGATGTTCAACATACACAAATCGATAAACATAATCCATCACATAAACAGAACCAGCGACAAAAACCACATGATTATCTCAATAGATACTGAGAAGGCCTTCAACAAAATTCAACAACTCTTCATGCTAAAAATTCTCAATAAACTGGTTATTGATGGAACATAACTAAAAATAATAAGAGCTATTTATTACAAACCCACAGCCAATATCATATTGAATGGGCAAAAGCTGGAAGCATTCCCTTTGAAAACTGGCACAAGACAAGAATGCCCTCTCTCACCACTCCTATTCAACATAGTATTGGAAACTGTGGCCAGGGAAATCAGGCAAGAGACAGAAATAAAGCATATTCAAAAGGAAGAGAGGAAGTCAAATTGTCTCTGTTTGCAGATGACGTGATTGTATTTTTAGAAAACCCCATAATCTCAGCCCCAAATCTCCTTAAGCTGATAAGCAACTTCAGCAAAGTCTCAGGATACAAAATCAATGTGCAAAAATCACAAGCATTCTTATCCACCAATAATAGACAAACAGAGAGCCAAATCATGAATGAACTCCCATTCACAATTGCTGCAAAAAGAATAAAATACCTAGGAATACAATTTACAAGGGACGTCAAGGATGTCTTCAAGGAGAACTACAAATCACTGCTCAAGGAAACAAGAGAGGACACAAACAAATGGAAAAACATTCCATGCTCATGGATGGGAAGAATCAATATTGTGAAAATGGCCACACTGCACAAAGTAATTTGTAGATTCAATGTTATTCCCATCAAGCTACCATTGACTTTCTTCACAGAATTAGGAAAAAATGACTTTAAATTTCATATGGAACCAAAATAGAGCACATATAACTAAGACAATCCTAAGCAAAAAGAACAAAGCTGGAGGCATCATGCTACCTGACTTCAAACTAAGCTACAAGGCTACAGTATCCAAAACAGCATGGTACCAGTACAAAAACATATATAGACCAATGGATCAGAATAGAGACCTCAGAAATAATGCCACACATCTACAATTATCTGATCTTTGACAAACCTGCCAAAAAAATGGGGAAAGGATTTTCTACTTAATAAATGGCATTGAGAAAACTAGCTAGCCATATGCAGAAAACTGAAATGGGACCCCTTCCTTACACCTTATACAAAAATTAACTCAAGGTTGATTAAAATTTAAACATAAGACCTAAAACCATAAAAACCCTAGAAGAAAACCTAGGCAATACCATTCAGGACATAGGCATGGGCAAAGATGTCATGACTAAAACACTAAAAGCAATGGCAGTAAAAGCTAAAATTGACAAATGGGAACTAATTAAATGAAAGAGCTTCTGCACAGCAAAAGAAACTATCTCACTGTCTGAAGAATGGAGTCACCGACCTCTCCATGCCCAGAATTGAATGTGGTCTTGATCTTGCAATGGGAAAATGTATCTGCGATGATCGAGGAAGTATTTGAGGCAACAGACCTTACTGTATACATGCTCTGAATCAATAAGCATTTTGGATGTCTAAAAAAAAAAAGACAACCTACAGAATGGGAGAAAATTTTTGCAATCTACCCATTTGACAAAGTGAGACTGTCATTTTAAGGCAAACAATTGCTAGTATTTGTTGCCAATGACAAAATTTGAGGTAACTAGAAAATTAAAATTTTGGAAAAATTGTATTGGCTACTCATGAGATTAACAATACCTCACAATACTTCAAGATTTGTCTGATGAGAATGGTAGTGATATTAACAAATGTGATTTTTTTTTTGATATTGTATCATGAAATCTGGAAGGTCTGCCTAACTCAATGAATCAATATTTTACAAAGCACAAAGCATCATATTACAAAATTACACATTGGTTAAAAAAAGTCATCCAAAATGAAAAGAGACAAGGCTTTTCATGTCAACCATATGAAACATTCATTGATATTGTTTCAGGTTACTCATTAAAAGTACCTTTCACCTGTTATTTAGTTTGAAGGTAATATCCAAGAAGAATGATCACAGTCATTGAAAAAAGCTGTTACATGCTTCTTCCTTTTCCAACTATATGTTTATATGAGGTTTAACTTTCTTCATGGAATTCAATTTTTAAAAAAGGCAAAAGATTAAATGCAGAAGCAGATAGGAGAATCCAGTTGTCTTCCATTAAACCAGATGTTTAAAGAGATTTACAAAAATGTAAAACAGTGCCACTCCATTTTAGAACAGAAAGCCTGTTAATTTTTATTTTGTTTCAGAAAAGTTATTTTTTATAAAAACATATTACAGTAATATGCAGTGGGTTTCTTATAATTATTAAATAAATCAATAGATAATTATTTTTAAATGTTTACTTTCTAGTATGATGATTATGAGTATATATAATGCACATAAACTAAAGCCCTTGGGGCTTTTAATTTTTAAAAGTATAAGGGATTCCTGAGATCTAAAAGTTGAGGACCACTAGATTAAAATAATTAGAGATAAATTAGTAAGTGTTAATGAGAAGAAGAAAAAGTTAACACTTGTTTTGAATGTCTGTTTTGTTCTGAGTTCATTCGGTTCTCACAGTTACTCTAGGAGGTAAATATTATTATACACATTTATTGGTAATGAGACTGAGCTCAAAGAGAGTAATTGTTTATCCAAAGTTATGATTTTAACCCAGATCTGAAAAATCCTATGCTTTCCTTTTACCTCTAATTGCTTTCCTACTAAAGAACATTTTATTCTATAATATGGTTTGATCAAATGATTGACTTTTTATCTTCACATGTATATGTATGTATGTGTGTACAAGGTGATACTATCTGGACAGAGAAACTGAGAGAGTTAGGGCTATAATGGAAATGGAAAGCATATAATATTGCCACAAGAAAAGAACTTGCTATTTATAAACTTAATGGTAAATTTTGTCAATAATAATCTTCAGTGAACCTTTCACGAGATCAAATATATGATTCTCCTTCAGTCTTCACTTTCTGCATCCCCTGCAGTGCTCTGGTCTCTCCCTAATCACACCCTATTGTTGTACAAATGCTTTCATTCGTTAACTCAGTCAATTCTTAAAACCACTCTTTGTGATTGGTATTGTTATTCCAGACTTACAGAGGAAAACATTGAAGACTTGAGAGATGAAATGATTCGCCTAAGGTCACATTATGAGTGAATATATGAATCAAGACCGAATCCAGGGCTTCCTCTGAAGCCCTTGTGCTTAATGACCCTGCAATACCATGTACCTGCTTCTCCAAAGGATTTCAGCTACTTGAGAACTGGGACCAGGTCTGTTCTTCCAAATATCCCCCTGCCTAGCACATTGCTTGGTACATAACTGGAACTCAGTAACGTTTTGTTGAACAAATGAATGAATAAATGAATGCATGAATAAGATACAGTCAGAGCTAAATAAATGAGCCAAGCTGCTTTCATTTACTGGAAGCCTGATTAAGGACAGAGTCTCATTGTTAGTTTAAGATGCTGGGCTGCCAGTTTAGTTGAGCCATTCAACAGTCTTAATTTTAGTTATATTCTCTGGTAACACTCCACACTCATTGGTTCTCATGGTTATTATTGTACAACATGCTGCTACTTCTTTGCTGATCTGTGACATGAAGAATGATTTTAAGTATACCCCCTGGGGCAGAGGTGGCACTTTGTAATTCTAGATGAAATTACCCTACTAAACTCTCTATGGAAGCTTATTGTAGGGGAAAGACACACAGTATACCAAAGAACTAAATACAAAGTGTATTTAGGTAGAATATTCTCTGATTTTATAAAGGGGACCAAAAGCATTAGCAATGCTTTTATGATAGGTATTTAAGAGGTTGTTAGCACCAATAACAATAATAACAATAATAATACCTTACTTTTTATTCTATAGCATTTTTGAGGGCACAGGTCTTTATAACTCTGAATAGAAATCTATGTATTCAGCATTGCAGGAACTGATCTTAGATGCCACCTTATTCTGTCTTCCCTCATGACAAAATGCTGATTTTGGAGGGGCAGGTGCTTCCTTTGTAGTTAACTGGTCATGTAACTAAGTGCCAGCCAATTGGATGCAAGTCTAAGGTATTGAGTAAAATTTGTGGCAAAACCCCTTAAGTTGGGAAATAAAATTTAACAACCGTTTATAATTTTTAAAAAAACCTACCAAGCAAGGAATAGAAGATAATTTTTTTGATCTGATGAAAGGAAATAAAAAACCACTAGCTAACAACATATGGTGAAACACTGATCCTTTCTCCCTAACATCATGAAGATGACTAGGTTGTCCTCTCCTACTACATTTATTTAAAAGAGTACTAGACACCCAAGCCAGTGCAATAAGGTCAGAAATAATAAAGAGGAAGCATAGACGTTGGAGAAAAAGAAGTTGTTATTCACAGATGACATGATCATATACACAGAAAATTCTAAGGAATCTATAAAAATCACACTAGAACTAAAGAGAAAATTAATATAAAGTTTGAAGGATACAAAGTGAGTATGTAAAATCAATTGTATTTCTACATGTTATCCAAAAGGAATTTGAAAATAAAAAATTTTAAATGTCCCTAGAAATAAGTAAAACAAAACATATGCAAGATATCTACCCTGAAAATGATAGAACTTTGTGCTGAGACATTAAACAAGATCTGAATGAACGAAGATATATGTCATGTAAAATGACTGGAAAATTCAATACGTGTCAGATGTTTAATATCCCCACAAATTGATCAATGGTTTCAATGTTGTCTCAATAAAAATCTCGGCATATTTTTTTGAAGAAATTGACAAGTTGATTCTAAAATTTATATGGAAATGTCAAGGATCTAGGATAAACAAAATGAAAGGACAAAGTTGGAGGACTTATGCTCCTGATTTCAAGACTGTCTATAAAGCTACAGTAAGGGAGGTAGTGGGGCATTAGTGGTCACATGGTTATATTCAATGGATCAATGAAACAGAATAGTGTCCAGAATTAGACTCACACATATGGTCAATTGCTTGTCAACAAAGACATTAAGATAACTCAATGTGGAAAGGAAAATCTTGTCTAACAAATAGTGCTTGAACAACTAGATATCTCTATGGAAACAAAAAAATCAACCTAGACATTTTTTTCTCATTCCAAATACAAAAACTAATTTGAGATCAGAAGCCTAAATGTAATCACATTAACCACAAAGCTTCTAGAAGAAAATATAGGTGGAGTCTTTGTGACCTTTACAGTAAGCAAAAATTTAATAGAACATAAAAAAACACTATAAAATTAAAAATTAATAAGTTGGACTTCATCAAAATTAAAAACTTTTGCTTGACCAAAGGCATTATAGAAAAATTAAAATACAAGCCGTAAAGTGGGAGATAATATTTTTGACAAATACATATATGTATATTTTTGGCAAAATGTATTTGACAAAAAACTTGTATCCAGCATATATAAAGTACTCTTAATGCACAATGTTGGAAAGATAGTCTAATCTTAGATTTCAAACGAAGCTTCACAAACTAAATAGGAATGGCAAATAAACACAGGAAAAGGTGCTCGACATCATTCATCATTAAGGAGATGCAAATTAAAGCTACAATGAGATACTACTGCACACCTATTAGAACGTCTAAAATTAAAAAAACTGACAACATCAAGTGTCAGTAAGGATGAAGAATATCTGGAACCTTGTCATACTGCTGATGGAAATGCAAAATGTACATTCGCTTTGGAAAACAATTTGGTAGTTTCTTTAAAAATTATACAGTTCAGCAATTCCAGTTTAGGTGTCTATTGTGAAGAGAAGTAAAAGCATACATCCATTCAAAGACTTCAGTGCAAGTGCTCACAGCAGCCTTTTCATAATAGCCCCCTAAAATAGAAACAACTCAAATGTTCTCCAATGAAAGAATGAGTAAACAAAATATAGTAAATAAATACAATGGATTGTTAACTGAAACGAAAAGAAGCAAACTCCTGATACATACAAAGTCATAGGTAAATCTTGAAAACATTATGTTGAACCAAAGAAGCCAAACACAGAGGGCATATACTACATTACATATTTATATAAAATTCAGGAATAGGTAAAACCAATATAAATTATCGACTTCGGAAAGCGGTTGCCTTTGAAGTGGTAGAACTGACTGTAATGGGAAATTTCTGAGGTGATGAAAATATTCTGCATCATGTTTTGGATACTGATTGCAATGGTATATTTAACCATCAAAACACATCAAACTAAACATTTTCCATCTGTGCATTTTAGGCATGTCAACTATACGTCACAAGGAATTGTGAGGAGTAGGCAGACAGTGTACTTATTGCCCCTATTTTCCTCCTTTCCTCCTGACTGAAATGAAGAAGTGATGATTAGTACCCCAGCACCATTCTTGGACCATGAAGATAAAATCCAAGTGTCAATAATGGTGAAACAGAGAGCAGAAAAAGGCCTGGATTCCTCATGTTTTTGAATCTGCCATACATCCCTGAATGGCCTTCCTCTGGTCCTTATATAAAAAAACAGAAGAAAATATTGGCTGGGCATAGTGGCTCATGCCTGTAATCCCAGCACTTTGGGAAGCTGAGGCAGGTGGATCACTTGAGGTCAGGAGTTTGAGAACAGCCTGGCCAACATAGTGAAACCCAGTCACTACTAAGACTACAAAAAATTAGCCGGGTGTGGTGGCAGGCGCCTGTAATCTCAGTTACTCAGGAGGCTGATGCAGAAAAATTGCTTGAACCCAGGAGGCAGAAATTGCAGTGAGCTGAGATCATGCCACTGCACTCCAGCCTGGGTGACAGAGTAAAACTCCATCTCAAAAACAAACAAACAAACAAACAAACAAACAAAAAACCTCCCTTTTTAAGCCACCATCACAGATATTTAAAACCAAACACAATTTTTAAGTGTTACAATCATTGAAAAGTTCCTTTTATGGTTAAATTATTTTTGATTATGTTAGATTGTAGTTGGGGGCTACATTGAGATTTTTTTAAATGGTATAATAAAAGCTATTTATCTTTTATAGAGATTGATGCTTTTGGTGTATAAAAGTATTATGTCAATAAACATTTGGAAAATTATTTCATATATATTAGATGTATAGTAGTAATGGGCTTGCTTTTGGGACAAATCGAATATGGGTACAGATCATGGGTTTGTCATGTGGCCTTGGGCAAATAGCTAACCTCTCAGAGCCTCTTATTTCTTCTGAGTATAGAGCTGGTGTTATTAAGCTTTAACCTGCTGTTATGAAGACTGAATGAGGTCATGTGTGTAAAACCTTCAGCACAAGGTCTGGCACAGAGCATATAGTAGCTCTTTTTCAATAGGAGAATATTAAATAGTTTGTTTCTGAACATGTCATTCACTTAACAGGTAAGCCATCACAAAGCAATTTGTCCTCCACCATCACCTGAATAATATGTGGTTTTAATAGCTTATTATAACATATTAGAATGGAGTCATTGCCTATGAAATCATTTACTACTGAATTTAATAGCTATGAAGGCTGCCCAGGCCTTCTCCAAGCAATAGGAGAAACAAATATTTCCCAAAGTACATCAGAGAAAGTTGCAAAAATTATTATTTTGCCAGAAGTCATTGTTGTGGAGAAACATTCTGGGAAAGTGAAGTTATTCTCCAATAACCTCAGAAAGTGGTGGCCACTGAGACTAGAAAGTGTGTGAAAGACTGGGCGAGGTGCCATCCAGCGGAGCCTATGGTGAAAGCCTTGGTCCCCTTGTCTGCATAACACACATTCTGGTTTGCTACAACCTGCCCTACACTGGAAGGCAGATGCAGAGGCTGCAAGAAGCCATGGCTAGAACCATGTAGTTCAGATGACCTCACCTCCACTCCAAGCAACCTAGGCACTGGAGAGAACTGCTGAGATCCAACCAGATGAAGCAGAAATGCCAGGGAGTTAGCAAGCTCCTGGCAAGTGCAGCTCAGAGCCGGGGTATCTCCACAAAAAATCAGTGCACGAAGATGCCAAGGGAATCATTTGCTTACCTGCAAGGGTTGGCAATTTCTTCTGGTGTTGTTTTCACAAAAGGGGATACAGGTTTTTCAACAAATGATCCGAAGCCCAGTCTAAAGTTGCTGGTTAATTTAGACATCTCCTTGGAAAGCCGGGATCCCAGCTCCTTGATTGTGTGGAGGTCATCATCCATGGAGGCGGAGAGGTCCATGAGGTAATACAAATCCACCGGATAGTCCTCGGTCTGGCGGACATGCACTTGCAGAGTCTGTGCACCACCTGCAAAGACCAATGGGAAAAGCAAACCCAGAAAAACACACTGAGATTCATTTGCAACTGGCCGGTTGCTGGGTCAGCTGGCTATTACACCTCAGTAAGAACTTACTGAAAGTCAAGGTCCTAAATGAACCAACCCATAAAAATTTTTCAGCAGGGAGTTTAGAACTACTGGAGGATAAGTTAGGATATTTTATATCTCCTTGGGAGAACTAGCATCCATTTAGATAGAAGATAAGCTGAATTTTTTGTGCTTCGTTTTAGAAAAGAGGCATCTAATAAAAGAGAGTTTAAATCTACATTACAACCCTTGAAGAGATGTGAGGTAAGCCTTAACAACATTTGAGTAATTTAAATGGTTACTATTAGAGAAGGCTTCTTTAGTAACACATTTGGAGTGCCAGGGACCAATGTGAATAAAGAAAAGTGTGAGCCTAGCAATTTTCTATTTCCTTAAGAATGGGAAATTCGAGGCATAATAATCAATGTAATACAATACAAGACACATTAGTGGAGTAGAAGAATTGCCATATATGACATCAGATCTATTTACATGAGCCAAATCCTAACATACCTGGTCTCAACTTCAGGATCAAGCTTTGAGGTGCAATCTGAACAATGTCAGAACTATTTTTCTGTGTGCCTACACTGAGAGGCTTATTTTTAAGTATTTCTACTTGTGAGACAGGGTTTTCGATGAAGTTTAATTGACATCCTTTAGCTAATAGGTTTGCTGGGGTATCACACCTTTCGCCAACTCCAGATGAGTGGGTAAAATTCTAAAAAAGAAAAAAGAAAATCAATAACTAGAAAAAGAAAACAAATCTGAATTTCTTATAAGATACCAGCAATTGAAAGTTTTTTATTATACATAGAAAGGAACAACCAGTATTAACCTTTCTAAAAATATACCAAAAAGTAAACAGCATCAACATAAAGAAGAATTTACATCAACGAATGGATAAAATAGCCAGTTAACATCAAATGGCAGTAACCCTAAATTTAAGTCGACTAAATCCCCCAATCAAAAGATACAGCCAAAACCTAACGGTATGCTACATCCAGACCCATTTCACATCCAAAGATACACAAAGACCTAAAACAAAGGGTTGGAGAAAGATCTACTAACCAAACGGAGAGCAAAAATAAATAAATAAATAAAAAGCAGGAGTTGCAATTCTTGCAGCTGATAAAATAGATTTCAAAGCAACAAAGATATAGTGGTAAAAGGATCAATGCAACAATAAGAGCTAACGATCCTAACACCCAGATACATAAGACTCATAAAGAGATTTAGACTCAATGAGATAGAAAATTAATAAGGATATCCAGGACTTGAACTCAGATCTGGAACAAGTAAACTCAATAAATATTTATAGAGCTCTCCATTTTAAATACACAAAATATACATTCTTCACCTTAAATACACAAAATATTCATCAGTCATTATTAATACCCATTTTTAGAATAAACCTACATTCCCGTTCTCTCTCCCTCTTTTTCTTCCTCTTTCTTCCTCTCCTTCACTCCTTTTTTTTCTTTCTTTCAAAAAAAAAAAAAGTTTTTCTGCATATTTTGCTAGTTAAGCATCTTGCCATGTTGTATCCCTACATGACTAACATTGATTATATGTCTAACGTTAAGTTATAGGTGAATAACCAGAGAATTCTGCCAGTAAAATTCTGAGTAAAACTGGCATCTCCTTTTAATTATATTCAATAGAATTCACGTAACAGTCGCGTGTGTGCGTGCGTGCGCACGCGTGGCTTAAGCTCACTTCTTTAAAGCTTCTTCCCAGGCCACGACCAGTTCCTTGAAAGAGTGAGGTTCGTAGATTTTCCTTGTATATTTTCAATCCTGTTTTGATACAGGAACTCGAAAAAAGCATAATTCTCTTGGACTTTTGTTTGTGGCTGCATCGGTCAAGGCCGTGTTAGGGGAGTGAGCTGCGTTTGTGCTCTCTTGTCTGTGAGGCCACCCTTCATGGATAGACACTGAACTCGGAATTTGGGTTTCTACAGGTAGAGCCCAGTTCTGAGTTTGGTGTCGAGGTTTGTTTCTCTTTGAGCATGCTACTAAGCTCTCGCTGAACTTGGCATTCTAAACAATTTATGTTTAGATTATCTTTATGAGATCCAGTGGGTAGAGACTTGTTTTAAAATTCGGAGAGCTAATGCCTTTCTCACCATGAATCAATTAGACATCGCTCTCTAGTGTCTTAGGATGGCTTACTACATAGTCCCCAATCATCTTCATACTGCTTTCACATAGTTTTCTGTTTGACCAGATAAGGAGTGCCTATTTGGGACTTTTTCACTGGTGTGGTACAGAGTCACTGAATTTATGAAAATTTAATTTTTAAAAGATCTGGATAATGTCTGACCAGTAATATTTGCCTCAAACCTAGAACACATGCCTTAGAAGCTAGTAGTAGTTCAGAATGGATCCTGGTACCAGATGGAATACAACTAGAATATGAACATCAAATGTATGTTTAACTTTAGAAAATATCTCCTTGGTCTCTGATTATCCAGACAGCCTCCATATTTTACATGTAACCGGTTAGAAATGGCTTTACAATAAAAGAAGGAACCAGGTAAAATTAAAAATACCAAGTTAAGTATTTTCTCAGAATAATTTGACATCCACTCCTTCCATAAATTGTTTTTGAAAGTAATCACATGAATGCCATTTTGAGCCACCATTGCTCACCTTCTCCTTTCCCGATTTGTTTTACTCATGCAATTCCACAAAAAGCAAGACACAATCAGAACTATTGCTGAAGAAATTAACATGACTGTAACTGCAGACAAGTTTTAAAAACACGTTGAGGTCATTCGTTTTACCTCCTGAGCACACCAGGCACACTGAGGTCCAATGAGCAGGCAGTCTTCACAGGTTTCTGCACCTCCCAGGGCACAGCCACCTAGGTTTAGACCCAGCAAGATGCAGAAATTAAGTACACTTTCAGTCATTCCATTTGTCAGACTGATGGCTCTTACATTACTTGAACAAAACAACATCAAAGGTAATTTTAGTATGCAAGATCATTCCTCGAAACGTTAGCAAGTCACATAAAACTTTGTATTTTACATCTATCACATGTAAAATATGTGTACATATATTAAAAAGTATGTATGTCTTTCAAACCAAAATTACCATTCTCTTTTTTCTTAAAATGTGGAAGTTCACAAATATAGGATTATCCTATTTATTATTAGCCAATATTTGCCACTTTAATTTTTAAAAATTACTTGCATCCATTAAAAAATGCTTCTCTCTTAAATTAGGCATTTCTGTTTTTGAAATAAGTCCTCCTTTTTCTCTTTCAAGATTATTACTCTTAAGTGGAAGATCTTGTGGTAGAATAAAATAGAAAAGTTTCAAAAATGGTTATTACAATGGCACGAAATTCTATAGGGCAGTAATGCTATTTAATTATCCTCTTTAAAATGCCTGTGCAACCTTTGTATTTATTTACCTTAAGCCTACAGCATTCGCTATGGAACTGCGTGGTGTTTGCCTGTAATTGTTAAAGTGTTCACTCAGTGACAAAAGAGCAATGGAACAGATCAAATAAAAAATGACTTCAGATCTACTTTCTGAACCAAATGACAGGTTTGTCAAGCATACCATGAAAGCAGTATATCGGAGAACACTGGTCTTACCTTGTACGTGATCATTCCTTCCTAGAAATAGAAAGAACAGGCAAAGCAGTTCAATCCCCATTCGTTTCAGTTCTTGCTGTGCAGACCGATTAAAAAATGAATTACCTTCAGCGTTTCAAGACCAAAGCTGAATATTGTTAAAGTCTTTCTTTCTTGAAGTACATTTTAAATACCACTTACACTGCTTTGAAAAGAAACTTGAGATGTGAGTTAGAGAGTTTTCATTAAGACTGAAATGAAAACAGAGGCTACCTGGACAGGTAAAGCAGAAAAGCTGTGTTTAAAAGCAACTTCAACATGATTTACTTCCTTGTTCTCCTTATAAGGAAGGCAGGTGTACAATCACAAGAAGGTGGGGAAATTCATTCAGTAGAAATTTTTGTGTAAGTTCTGTTAGTCTCTCTGCATCCTAGAGAAAGTTAATATCATTAGGGAAATATTGATCAATGAAATATCAAAACAGCAATTGAAATATAGTCATTTCTAAAATAATTTTAATTTAATGTAAATAGTAAAGATATTAAATAAAATATATAACCTATATGTAAGAAAAGTAAAAAATGAGCTAAATGAAAATACCTGAGATTTTTGTATTTCATTGTTAAATCCTTTGCAAAGAATGGAAATAGACCCTGAAAAAGAAAAATCATTGTCTTACAGTAAATGAGAGAGCAGGCTAGGGAAAGCAAAGCGCTGTTTCCTTATTTTTTAAATTAAATGAAATATATTTTTATAATTAAAAAATTCTTTAAAATGTTATTGGAAATAAGCATAACAAATAAAAATCAAAGAAAATAAAAATAAGAATGTCTCAAAACAACGACAACAACGATGAAAACAGAAACGACGGTGCCCAAGATTCTGAAACCCTCAGGCTAGGGAACCAGTTCTGTTTGCAATGTGCTGTTCCAACTTTTAGCTCATGATTTGGCACATGGGATACATTTATTTGTTGAGTGAAAGAGTGACAATTCAAAATATATAGGATCACTGGCTAAATTCATGAGGTTGTTTGTATTTTTCCCCCATGGGTTCTTCAGGAGGACATTTTGGGATTTGTAGAGTCCGTGAACAGATAAGAATCAAATTCTCACTTGGTCACTCTCGAAACTGCTGACCTTAGAGGGACTTTTTTGTGGCTGGGCTTTTATGTCCGAGGAGATTATCTTTTCAAGGAGCATTCCTAGGTAAGCATGCAAAACCTGTAAACAGAGGGAAATTGACTATGGTCAACCATAATTTAACTGTACATTTAAAAATAACTAAAAGAGTAGAAATGGGTTTTTGTAACACAAAGGATAAGGGCTTAAGGGGATGGGTACCCTACTTTCCATGATGTGATTATTACACATTGAATGCCTGTACCAAAACATCTCATGTACCCCACCGATATATACACCTACTATATACCCACAAAAATAAAAATGAAAATAAAATAATTTTTTAAATAAAATACACCAAAAAAAGAGAGAAACTAATTATAGACTACTTAGGCTTTTCTCAGACGCCTATATTATGTTCAATTTTGACCTCCATCATATCCAAGAACCTGGAAAAACATGGCAAGAGTTCTGCAGTAACAATCCAGAATCATTAAAGAATTGGAAGATATGCATTTTGGGAGACAATTTATATAAAGTTATTTTATTTAACTTGAAGAAGAAAGATCAAGGCACCAATTATTTGTGTCTCTGTTACTGTCATTTTAAAAATCCAGTATTAACTATTATTCATTAATTTATCCATTCATTCAACAAGTACTTATTGAGCATTTACTTTCTGTCAAATATTATTTTTGAAGCAGAGGCTACATCAGTGAACACAACCCAGTTCTTCATCCATGCAGCATATATTCTAGGCTGTAGGGCAGTCAATGAAGATAGACTCCTAATATCAGGGAGTAGCCAGGGCTGTGAATCATAATAAGTCTGGGTAAAAGGAAAGAGGGGTGAGGGAGTGTGCTGCTTTCTTTAGAATAGTCGTGGAGGGTGTCCCTGACCAACTGGCATCTGAGAGAGCCCTAGATGACTTTGACAACACAGCTAAGTACAAAGGCCTGAGACAGCCCAAGGGAGGGTGTTTTCAAGGGCAAGCGGAATACAAGAAGGGAGAGAGACAGGGTGATCAGATTTTGGGGCAAAGGTCAGATCATATGTAGTCTTGACCTTGAATTTTATTCTATACCTTGAGTGTCATTGGAAGGTTGAAAGCAGAGAAATGATATTGTTTAATTTACATTTCAGAAGAACCACATTGGCTGCTGCAGAAGTAGAATGTATAGGGCAAAATTGGAAGGTGAATGGGGCAAGGAAGGGATATATGGCTGTTAAGAACAGAGACAATAGTGGCTGGGACTAGGGTGAAGGTGGTACAGGAGGAGAGAGGTGATCAGATTCAAGGTCTATTTTGAAACTGGGCTGTCCTTATAGATTGGATGTGAATATGAAAGAAAGAGGTTTCTGGCTGGCACAATTGAGTGATACTTTTTATTGAGAGGGGTTACATTGAGGAAGGATCAAGTTTCATGTGGAGGATGAGGATCAAGAACATGGTAAGTTTCATCAGATGGCGAGAAGATAACCAAGTGAAGGCACCACATAGGCAGTTTGACATCTAGGTCAGGAAATGGGGGCAGTGTTAAAGTACAAATTGTAAACTGGGGATTATCAGCATAGATTTAAAGATATAAGGCTGATGGGGTTCAGAGATATGTGGCTCAATGAGATCCCCCCAGGAGGTAAATGTATATAGGAAAGATTTAGAGATCAAGAGGAGGATTGAGTAAAGGAAGCTTCTATCTAAAGAACACTCCACCTTGCTAAAGAGGAACCTGTCTTTGTTGGAAGACAAATTCAAGTGTCTCTCATATTTCTGTGCATTTTATAGGCAGAGGCTCTGGCTGCCTTTTTTTCTAGACTGTTGTTTCCAGCCTTTGAAAATAGAGAGAGTGTCCCTCTTTAGGGAAAAGAAAAAATTGCTTAAAGCTTTGGAAGAGAGAGACAGTGTCAATCTCCAGAAAAAAAGAGCAGGCCTGTTTACTGCCCATTATGAAAGGTTCAGGTTCCCCAAACTCAAAGTTCTTCTCTTACTACATGTGCAGGTGTCACCGTTTTCTTTTGTGTCATCCTGTGGGAAATGGTATTGGAGAACTAGTGAGCAAAATGTGATGACACTCTGACCACTGTGATTGCTCTGAATTAAAAAGTTCTTTTTCTATGACCCAGCATCTCATGTTTCCATCAGTACCCACTAATCCATGACAAGCTAACTTGTCAGCTTGCCAGTCAGGTAAAAGTTCAGGACCTTCATAGTTCTTGACAATCTCCTATTCAAAATCCACCTCTGTCTGGAGATTGAACACTCAACTTTCAAACCTCACTTTGAAAGAAAAGATCTTGCATCCCACAAAACTGCCTTGGACTGACAAGTGCTGCCCTGGGCTCCAGAGGTTTCCCCAGGTCCTGAATTGTCTGTCTGCCCGCAGATTTCCCTGGCAGCCACTTGCAGGCACTCTAGAGGGCTGGATCAGGAGTGGCTGCCCAGCTCCGGATATGCCACTCCCTGGAAACTCTCCATGGTTTTAGCTGCCACCAATAATCTCTCCTTCCTGGGAACACAGATTACCTCTCCTGGCCTCTTCTGCAGCTAAGAAAATCCCAATGACCAGCTCTTGCCAACAGAATATGAATATGAGTGGAAGTGGTACGTACGCCTTCCAGACCATCCTCATGTCCCTCTGACAATTGGATGCAGACAGCAGTAACGTCCTAGGAGAACTCCAAAGCTATAATTTGACCATGTATTTAAATGGAGTTGTGCCATCCCGCATAAAGACTTCCATCTCAGTTCCTAGAATCATAATCACACTGACTTATTTATTCTCTGTCCCCCATGGCTGCCCCTCCAATGCACACCCTTCCTATCTTGTGAGCCCACAAACCATTTGTTCTTTCTGCAGGCCTTGGGCTCCCTCTCATGCCTCTCACTTGGCTAATTCAGCTTGCCCGGCAGGTCTCAGTGTAGACATTAGTGTCTGCAGGAAAAACTTTCTTGTCTCTCTTGGCCTCTCTTCCTGTGGACATTCCTCAGGATAGCCCTTTTTGCTCTGCTTGTAATTGTCAAAACACTTGCCTTTCCTCAACAAATATTTATTCAGTTCTTGCTATGTATCACACAGTGACTGTCTCTTATTCATTTTTCTATTCCCAGCAAGTAACACAATGCCTGGCACTTTGTAAGTAGTCAATTAATGTTTATTGAGAAGATGGGTGAATTTTAAGTCTTCATTGTCTAGTATTTCACCAGTTACAAAGCAGGTATTCAACAGATATTGAGTAAATAGATGAGTAAATGAATGAATGGTTTAGAAAGGTAAATAATACAACTAGGAAAGGGAAAATGTGTTCCCTGCTTGGGTTGTGCCAAAAGCTGAGAAATGGCTTAAAATGCAGGGTGAAGAAAAGGCAGGGAGGAATTTGAGACAACGTAAAGTAGAATAATGTTATGAAAGAATATTTATACACTCTGATTTTACTTTGGGACTGCTGGCTAATTTGTACCAAGGGGCAAGGCACTGGGAAGACATAGCCTTGCTTCCTGAGGGTGGTGCCTGGTGCCCTTTTTTGGAAAGTACTATGTCCACATCGCTGTGGAGGGTGGCAGCCCTGCCTATCCTGCGAGCAGCTAATCCATGAGATGCTAGCATCCTGTAAAGTCCCCCAAATGAAAACTGTGTCTCCTTAGCCATGCCATCTGGATTACTTACCTCTGTTTCTGTGTATGTAGAATCTGAAATGGGAAATACAGATGCAAAATCAGGAGTTTGGTAATGGGAGGCGAAGTGGGCAGGATGTATGGAGAGAGGGCATCAGGTTGGAGGGAACAAGGTGCTTCCAGAATCAATGTTAGGAGGACTTAGCAGCTATATGGAGGCAGAAGCCCAAGGCAGAAGGAAGCCGCACGGGGTGGGAGATGAGAGGATCAATATGCGATCAGCAGAGAAGGGCCCTGAGCGACGTGAACTGAAGACCGCTAGAGTCAGATCTACCAACTCACTCTGCTGGGGAGAAGGAGCACGGCCCAGGCCTAGAGCTGCCGTGGATCCCAAATGCCCATCCAGCTTGGATCTCTAGGAGACCTGGCTCTTGTTTTCCCCGGCATCCTGTCCCTTTTAAAGCAATATGTATTCTTACAGCAAATTCCCAATACTTGTGGGTAGTTGAGAGGATCTTATATTCCTTAACATTCAAAGGTTCTGTCATACCATTGACATTTTCAGACAGGCTGATCAGGCTCATCAGATAGAATCCTACCATCCAGATTGCTCAGAGTACCAACCTAGGGGCTGTGACTCCACCTGGGAGTCTGACCCTCCTCAAGGAGCCTCAGCTAAGCAGCATGGGGGTGGACAAAGTAGCTTAGAGCTCAGGGATGCAGAGCCTCAGCACTCCACCCGTCTGCTTGCCCTGACTTCAGAGACTTAGAAATGGACTGTCTTCCACAGTGCCCTGACTTCAGGAAGCCAGTGAACCAGTGTCTGAGTCACTGCATTTAGCTTGTGTCTCTCCTGGACCCAGCCATTCATCCACATCAAAGAAAGACAGGCCAGACCCCAGCTGGGCCTTCCCTGGGGCACTTCACAACACTCCTGAGAGAGGAAATCCTGAGTCATCCTGGCTGGGAACCAACTGGAACCCTGGGGACTTTAGTCATGGCTGTCTGCTCTTTGGCCGGCCTTGCCATGCTACCTGCTTCATCTCAAGTGCCATTGACAAATCCTCCACCTCTAGGTGTCTTTCTGTGCAAACGTTTCATTGTGAGTAGCTAAAAGAAGGCAAGGTAAATGGCTGCTTTGTCTCTGGGTCTCACTCTAAGGTAGCTCCGAGTGTGATGCCTCCGAGTGGGTTGTTTGCAGAATTCTGTGGCCGTCTTGTGGTCGTGCATGATGGTAGAGCAAGCAATCTCGAAGCAGATACATTTGTTCCATTTTTTGAGACCTTCAGAAAGCGTCCCTTAAAGAAGGATGTGTAACACTTTCCTGTCATCCTTGTTCACAATGCCCACAGGTGCTAGGTGCTAAAGAAATGTTGCATGGCCTAGACCTCTCCTTCTAGGCTGGAGTTTCCTATTTTGTTTATTGCAGTAAAATATACATAACATAAAATGTATCATTTTAACGATTTTTAAGTATTTGACTTGTTGGCATTAAGAGCATTTATACTGTTGTGCCACCCTCCCCACAAACCATCTCCAGAACGTTTTCATCAGCCCAAACAAAAACTCCTCACCCATGAAACAATAACTATCCGTTTACCCTGCACCAACCCCCAGCACCCACCATGCTACATTCTCTCTCCATGAGTCAGACTACTCCAGGTGCATCACAGAAGTGGAATCATATAATGTTTGTCCTTTTGTGAGAATGGCTTATTTCGCATTAGCATAACGTCTTTGGGGTTCATCCAGGTAGTATCATGTGTCAGCATTTCCTTCCTTTTAAAGGCTGAATAATATTCCACTGTATGGATATACCACCTTTTGATAGCCTAACCATCTGTCAATGGACATTCAGGTTGTTTCCAGCTTTTGGCCCTTATGAAGAGTACTGCAATTAAGGTTGGTGTAGGGATATTTGTTTGAGTCTGGCACTTACTTTGTAAAGGCTTCATGATGCCCATAATGGGAAGAAACTGAAGTGGGAAGAGTTTGGTTTTGGATGCAGGGAGTCCTGAGTTCAAACTGCAGTCCTGCCAGATCCTCTTGTCTATCTGTGGGGAGAGCGTTTATCTCTCAACACTTTCGCTTCTAGACTATGAAAAAGGGACAGTATCCACTTTATGGGAATATGGTGAAGAGTATCTGGGAGCTACAGGTGGCTCCAGGTAGGATGGAAGCCAGATCACCATTGGGAAACATATTTTATAAATGGTGTGATGAAATACATTTCGAGATGGGTACAGGTTTTGTGGGGCCTAAAGATTATACCTTTTGGGAGACCCTCTTTAAGAAAAGGAATGCAGGCCAGGTATGGTGACTCATGCCTGTAATCCCAGCACTTTGGGAGACCGAGGCAGGTGGATTTCTTGAGGTCACGGCTTCAAGACCAGCCTGGCCAACACGGTGAAACCCCATCTCTACAAAAAATACAAAAATTAGCCAGGCATGGTGGCATGTGCCTGTAGTTCCAGCTACTTGGGAGGCTGAGGCAGGAGAATCACTTGAAACTGGGAGGAAGAGGTTGCAGTGAGCCAAGACTGTACCACTGCACTCCAGCCTGGGTGACAGAATGAGACTCTGTCTCAAAAAAAAAAAAAAAGAGAGAGAGAAAAGAATGCAAAATTGGAAATAAACCATGTGTCGAAAGTGTATGTGTATTTCAAGTGAGAGGGGAAAACCCATGATAGCAAATTACTGAAAGCTTGAAAATTCCAGTCCCTTTGTTTCTTGACATCACCTCAGGCAATTCACCAGAAATGCTTTCTGAAAAATGCTTCCTGATGGTAATCTGTCTCCCATCCCACCTGGAGCCACTCACAGCTCCCAGATACTCCCAGACACCTGTGCACACTGGAACCTGGGCTGAAGGTCCCTCCGTTTTCTGTAAACCCTCCTTTGATTTTACTTGGGACACATGTTTATGATTGCTCGTTTTAATGAGCACTTACCAAGTGCCAGGCATCATTAAATATTGTATTAGGGTTGCCCTATTTTGTTCTCACAAGGCCCCAATAAAATGGGGTGATCTTTCCCAAGATCACCTCATTGCTCAGAAAACAGGGCCCTGGAGACAGGCTGTTACCCTCCCACCCGAGTTCAGAATCACCCTGCAAACTGCCTCCTGGTAGATAAGAGATGTACAAAGAATCCTCAAAAAGATGCCAATGATGAAATTCCACAGGGAACTTGGAAAAACGTTCACATCTCTAGTTCAGGACTCTGGTTCCAGCTCTAGCTCGGTGTCTAGCAGTTTCCTTCTGGGTTTGTTTGTTGTTTATCCTGCAGCCACCAAAAATCAGACAAAGATGTGGTCATGGATTGTACCATTTTTTCTCTGATTTGAGGTCAGTACAGATCTCTTTAAAACAAAATGAAACAGAACATGTTGCCTGGCCCTTCAGGGGAAGCAAAGCCCCCTGGTCACAAGCCAGGCCTGATACTGAGTTCAAGAGTGTGTGGCCGTGGGCGTTTCCTGTGACCGGGAGATGACTCAGGATGAACTCCGGTCCCTGAGCCACAGGCACCCCCTGCTACCCCTCCCTGGCACCTCACAGTTACCAACCACACCCCACCCCATGCCCAGCAGTAACACTGCCAGCTACAGCGAGCTTGTCCTGTGAATTAGGTCTTCTCCAGAGGCCCCACAGTCAGGGTTCAGAGCTTACACTGAAGTCTAAAAGAACTGAACTCTTTCTTTTAGTTTGTGGAATAAATCCAAAGACAAGATTTTCCAGAAAATATCACTGGATGTGAATTTATTTCAACTTGACTCTGAGAACTGGACTCTTTAGGCCCCTTTTTCCTATCTGTGAAGCAAATAGCAAGACATCATGTGAAGAGATACTGATTGCCAAGTGGTTTGCTCACTCACAGCTTGCAGAGCTGCTGAGCCTTCTTTTTTCATTTACTCATTCACTTGCTTTGGCAGCTGCCTGTGGAGACCCCACGATGGACCAGGCACTGTTCTGAGAGCACAGTGTTGATTAAAACCGACAGGGTCTCTGCCTCATGGAGCTTACATTCCAGTGAGAGAGACA